CGCAGGCATTTAGACACACGCACACCCCTATACACAGACACACACGCCCCGACACACACACACACACGCAGGCATTTAGACACGCGCCCCCGATACACAGACACCAGCATGCGCAGACGCGCTCAGCCTCGCCCCTCGCTGCCACCCTCGCAGGCGGCTCCCTGGGCCACTCAGTCTCCTCTTGCTTCTGTAACATGCACAATGTTTACAGGCGCGTCTGAGGTGTCTGGGTCCCCCGCCCCCATTTGCTTCCAACCTGGCTTCCCCGTCACACCGGGCCCGAACTGGCTGCACACGACCCGCAGGCCCTCCCTGCAGACCTCAGGCCCCCCCACCCCGGAAAAGCCAGGCGCCAGGACCCCAAGCCCCCGCAGGCGGCTGCAGCCAGGCCCGGCCACTCACCGGAAGCAGTGCCGGTGGTACAGCTTGCCCGCCGCCAGGTGTCGCTGCACCAGGTGCACGTGCTGCTGGCAGGCCGCGCAGGTGCTGCTGGGGGCCCGCTGGGCGCCCTGCTCCGCCAGGCTGCCCGAGGGGAGTGCCCCGCCCTGTGGGGAGTGGGGTGCACATGGGTGTGGCTCACCTGCCGCCCCCCCCACAGCGTGCGGGAGGGCCGGGTGCAGTCCCAGGGTGGCATGGAGGTGCTGACCCTTCCGCCAGCAGAGGCTGAAGCCCAGAGGCAGGGGAGCCTCCGCCAGGTCCCCAAGGCAAACACAAATCCTGACTTGCAGGAGCTGGGGCCCTCCCCCAGGAAGGCGCCCCCAGTCACAATGCCCCTCCCCTTGCCCTGCTCGCCCTGCAGCTTGGCCCCGTGGGGGTCTCCGTAGCCCTCAGTGGCCCTCGCTGCCTCCCTCCCAGCTCAGAGGGGTCCCACCCACTGCTCTGCTTTCTGGCAACAGGCGGGTCCCGGGTCCTGGGTAGGGCCCCTCCCGGGCACTGCGATGCCCGGCTCCCACTCAGCAGCTCCTCCAACAAGAGCAGGTGGAAACAGGAGGCCGAAGCCTTTTGCCCGCCTGAAGCGCTGTCCAGGTTAGAGGGGCTGTGTCACCCCTCGATGCCCCTTGCAGCAGGAGACGAGCTGTGCGACTTCAGACAAATGACCAAACCTCCCTGAGCGCCAGCTCCCTATCTGTGTCTGGACCCACTGTGCCACCTCCCAGGCAGCCTAGAAAAGGCGTCACACTGCGACCAAGCCCTGCCTCAGCAGAGGGGGCCGTGTTCACGGGGCGTCTGCAGTAAACTGACTGGGCTACACCCCGCCCCCACCCCGTCTCGTCTGGGGTCCACGCACCCAGGTGCCCCGTCCCTGTGCGGCTGCCCACAATGGACGACACCTACCTGAACCCCGGCTCCTGGCTCCTCCGGGCTGGGCGCTTCGGATGGCGGGGAGGAGGGTCCCAGGCCCTTCCTGGGAGGTGAGACACCATCTGCCAAGAGAAGGGTCAGCTGACACGCCCAGGGCACAGAGCCTCGGAGCCAGGCTCCTGGCACCCACTATGGGACCTCGGGCAGGGCCGGGCCCAGGACAGTGGAGTCTGGTCAAGCCTCCGGCCCTGCCCTGGGCCAGAAAGCAGAGGACAGGACCATCTGGGGTTGCCAGGCTCCAGCTGGAACCGCCTTTGTTTCCTTGGGTTGAGCAGCGGGTGTGATAAAAATGGTTTGCATGTCGGGGCCAAGTTGTACAAAAAGCACAAACTGTACCTTTATCGATGAGCACCCCACAGGCATGGGGGGGTTGCTGCCCGGGCACAGCTGGGAAGCAGCCAAGGTTACCCTCACCCAGGGGGTGCCCAGGGAGGGCCCTTCGCCACCCAACGACCGCAGACCCCAGGCTCACAGCTGGACCCCAGGGCCCAACAGGCCACGGCCTCAGTGGATACTTGAATGAGCGAAGAAAGGACCCAGGGAACCGGCGGCCCTCACCTTGGCCAGGGCCAGAGAAGTGGTTGTAATACTGGGACACGTAGGTCATGATGCTGAGGCAGTCGGGGACGCTCATGGAGACCATGTCCTTGGGGTCCAGGAGGGCGGGGATCCCCAGCTCCTTCTCAGCCACTTCAAAGGCCTGTGGTGGAGCCGTGAGGGGAGAGGTGGGGGGGAGGGGGGAGAGAGGAAGAATGGGGGAAGAGAAGGCAAGGTTGAGGCCCCTCAGCTAGGCCCAGCTTCCCTCAGTGGAACAAAGGGACTCAGCAGGGGTGACTAGGGGATCCCCAGGGGGGTGGCCCACAGGGCAGCCTGGAGGAGGGGAAGAAGGTTTGGCACCGCAGGCCAGAGGGACGTGGGCCAGAGAGGGGCCAGGACCTTGTTTGGGACCTGCGGCCTTCAGTGCTGGGGGTTCCTGAGAAGCTGCCACCACCCACCCCCCCTACGCCATGACCCCTTCTCCCCTCCGCCATCCGCCTCTGGGCTTCCGTCTGGGGACTCACCAACTGATTATTCTCGAAGACATTGTCCTTGGAAAGCGAATCAAAATCCCTGCAAGAAGCAAAGGGGAGAAAATCTGAGGCGGGAGGAGAGTGGGGCGGGGAGTGGGGCGGAGTCCCCAGCCGGAGGGCATCAGCAGGCCTGGGGGGGGCTGGGGGCTGGCAAGGGGGAAACTGAGGCCGCCAGAGCTTGCTAAAGGAGCTGGGGCTGTGGGGTGCGAGGCTGGGACTCCCAGCCTCGCACCCCACAGGGGCAACGCGCTGTCAAGGACACGACTAAGGTCCCTCCCTGGCGTGACCCAGAGCCCTCCCCAGGGCGCCGTCTCCGAGTGGCCGAGACAGAGGAAGAGCAGACAGCGGGGACCCGGTGCCAGGCCCAGTGCCAGCCCCGAAGCCAGCCCTGCCCGAGCACCGCCTTGAGCTGCTCTCCACGTCAACGCTGCCTGGCGGTGGCTCCCCAAGTTCCAGATGAGGACTTGAGGCCCGCAAGGACGCCGCCCTGGCCCCACGCACAGCTCTGGCCTTTCCCCTGCAGGTCACCAGCCCAGAGGAGCCGACCAGCCTGCTGAGGCCAGCCCAGCCCCAGATCGCTGTCTTTAATGGGGCAGGAACTGGACGAGTTTGAACCTGACTGGACACCACATGCACTAGGCGCTGCACCCAGCAGCTGGCGGACCCCGCCAGGCATGTTATGGGGGAGCAGTGAGAGCTCCCAGTGTCTAAGCTGGGGCAGGTGAGAGGCGGCAGGGCCTGCGGGGGACGCTGCAAGGGCACAGCTGGCCGCCTGTTGGCGTTGTTTACCCCCCTCCTCCCCACTGCCGGGCTGCTGGGGTGGCTGAAGCCAGCTCAGCCTTCTGCTAGGCAGTCTGGGGCGCCCCGCCCCAAGCCCTGCCCTCCTAGGGCTGGAAACCGCAGCCTGCCTCTAGGTCTGTGCCCCAGGCCCCAGGCGCCCTCTCCCAGGCTGGCTGGTGGGCAGGTCAGCAGTCCTTCATTGTGCCAGCTGCGAGCTGGTGCCACCTCCCAGCTGGTGGGTGCACTGGGGAGGTCCCGGCCTCACCAGCCGTCTTCTTGCCCTCCCGAGCCCTAACTCCTGCAGGCCAAGTCCAGATACAAGGAAACGGGGCAAAGACAGGAAAGGGGGTTCGAGAGCCCCAGCAGGCCAGGCCGACGGTTGGCAAAGCTTCAGCCCCCTCTTTGCCACCGAGTGTGACCTCAGCAAGCTAGTCAGCCTCCCCAAACCTCAGCGCCCCAGCCTGTGGGACCAAGAGGGATGTCCCAAGACCCCACGAGACAGAAGCCACAGAGCTGGCGTGTGCGCAGCAGGCGGGGTGCTCCCTGCACCCCAACAGCCTACACAGCTCCCGGAACACAGGAGGCGCTCGGTGCATGTTTATGGAATGAACGGCGGGACCAGTGCGAACGCGGGACCCCAAGATACTACAACAGGTCCTCCAGCAGTTCCCCACCCCCGCTCAGGGTGATCAGCCCCACCCCTACCAACACTGGGCTTTGGTGACAGATCTTTCCTGAGGGTTTTCAAGGCCCAGGACGTCCCTCTGGCTCTGGGGGAGATGAAGGACCGAAAACGAAATCCACGTGGTCCCTGTCCTCACGGGAGCGTAAGGATCCTGACCGCGCTGTGCGGGCAGGCCTGGGTGGCGGGCAGGCCAGAGGGTTCAGTCCAGGGCTGAGGTGCTTTGGAAGACGCTGTGTGCCCTCGGCCCACCCACCCCACCCCTTCACCGTCACGGCCACGGAGGGCCTCCCTTCCACCGGCCTCCCGTGGACTGGCCTCAGCTTTGCTCTTGCGCCATGGGCTGGCTTGCCCGGTCCAAGAAGGCAATTCTGGATGTCCTCTAAGGAGGGGAGCCACCCTCCACGCCACGCCCCTCCCCTGCTGACAGCCCCATGCCCCCCTGTGGGCCTGACCCACCTCCTTAGCCAAGGAGAGGAAGCCCTAAGCCTCACCCTCCTCCCTGCCTCGATCTGTGGCTCTGCTCAGGCCCCTCTCAGCCCTCCCCTGGCCATTGACATCTGGGAGGCCTTTGGCTGGGCCCTTGGCACAGCACTGCCCAGGGGGAAGGTCACCGCTGCTTAACCATCTTCCCTGCACAGGCCAGAGGAGGCCGCGGGGCTCCTCTTTGGCTGGTTGTGTCTCCTCACCAGGCGGTGCCTGGCCCCAGCAGTAAACCTGCGAGCGCGACTGAGTAAATGAAGCAGTGAGACACTGCCCTCACCACTGCCTGCTAACGCCTAGAGTGACCCACGCTAATTACTGTCTGAGGCAGGACGCCTGTAAACAGGTCTTATTTTGCACGTAGGTACAGATGAGGAAACTGATGCCTGGGGGGAGCCGTGACTTACCCAGGGAGCTTTGCACACTTAGCTGGGGACCTGAGGCCCCTTCCCACCGGCCGTGTCCCCTGGCCCTGCCTCAGGCCTGCCCCCAAGGACTCCTCCAGCTCTCCACCCAGCACATGGGTCTGCTGGGGTGCTTTCCTCACCCCTCAAGCATCAGCACCGGAGCCCCTGCCCCCCCACTTCTGTGGGTGCAGCTGGCACACACCCCACGGCAGACGCGACCCACCAGCACCCCCACCTCATCTTCTTCACACCTGCCTCCACACCCCAGAACCCTCTCCTCCTGGGTCCAAGCCAGCACCCCCACACTGTGCCACCCACAGGCAGTAAGCCAAGGGCATTGCACCAAGGAGACCCCGAGGTGTCCTCCCTCGTCAAAGCTGTCCTGAACTGTCCTTGGGGAGCACTGAGATGGGGGGCTGTAGGCAACAGAATCAACCACGCCCCAATTCCCAGATAGACCAGGGACACCAAGAATGACAGGCACCAAACTTGCAGTGTCTATGAATGAATGAACGAATGAGTGGATGAGAGTCCCAGGCCGAGGCAGAAGGACCTGAGCTAGGAGCCGTCGTCCACCCTCCGGGCCTGAATCAAGGTCCCCCTGAGGACCTCACCTGGCAGCAGAGGCAGAATTTCACACTCTGGGGCAACCCTGGGACTGCCCACCTGACGGGGTCACTTGACTCCCAAGCCCCGGGGGCCAGCTGTGGTTCCCCCCAGCAGCCAGCCGCCCTCCGTGCCAGCCGCCCTCTGTGCCAGCCGCCGCCAGCCAGGGATCAGGAGGCTCCCTCGCTACCCACAGGGAAGGGCCCCCCAGGGGAGGGGTGCTCGGGTCCTGTGCCGCAAAGGCCCAGGGTCCCCAAGAGGCTCGGTGCCCCCCTCACAGCCAACACCTGGAGGGTCTCAGTGTCCCCTGGGCGGAAATCAGCGCCCATGGGTGGGGCCAGGGTCCCGCCAAGCGACCAGCAGAGTCGGGGGGCGGAGTCAGGGCGGCCCGGTGGGGAGGGGTGCTCGGGCTGGGGGTCTTGGGGACACGCGCGGCGA